CCGCTCGGGGGGGGCGGCCGGCCGCTCCTGGCGAGGCGCATGCTGCTTGCCCCGGCCCCGGACTCTTCAAAAGCGAGAGGATATGTGCACGACCTCTGCTTGTGGCAGTTTTGCCGACACGTTCCCCACGTGCAGTGTCTCTGCGACAACAACAACGTAGTCGCAGGTTCACGTTGCTAGTGACCTAACCTGTCAACCTGTTAGTGACCTAACACTGAGGTTAAATATGGTTTACGTGAATATAAAATATAAATATAGTTTTTAAAAGTTGATATGCAAGTACTAATCTAGCTTTAATTACCCTGATGTTTACTTTTTTCACTGTGTTAAGTAAATGAGAATATCAGGATCTGTACTGCATGTGGTAAGCGCTCCATAGGGCAGACTCCATTAACCTTGAGTCCTTAAAATGCTTGTGCAGTCTATTTATTATATAAAGTACAAATCTTCCTGTCTATCTATATATTTGCACACATATAGACATAATTGCAGTTTAAATACAGTACACATGATGTGCTACTTTATACAGTAACTAAAAACCCAAACATAACTGTATACACATATACACATAACTGTATACATAGATATAAATATGTATGTGTTCTGGCTCTGTCCCCTCTGATTCCAGTGGGATATAGTACACAATATGATACACATTTTATGGCCAGTGGTCTGTTCTAGTTTCACTAAAACTTGAAGAGAAGTCATTTGCCTTTGTTACATTGTTTAACATTATTTTCAACATTATATGAAAAGTATACAAAAGAACTATCTTTAAAAACATGTTGCAGTTTTTCGGTGAAACAAACATGATTAATAGGAAATTACTTCTTATTGTACATCCACATGGCTGTATGTGCCACTGGGCTGTTACTCTAGAAGACTGATGCGATCAGATTTTATATTTCTCTCTGGCTTTCTCTTTCAGAATGCAGATGTGCTAAAAAAACAAATAAACACAAATTTAGCCAATCTTTACTTTCAAAAGAAATGCAAGAATGATTTTCAGTAATATTCCTAGCATACACCAAGGAAGGAAGGAGCACACACCAAGACACGACTCCTTTGTCAGTTTTATTACCTACAGTGAAACTGAGCTGTTAGTATTTCTTACAACCTCATCAAAAACTTACAGAGGAGTTGTGTATTCTGGAAGAGGTCAAATTTGTTCATTTATCATGTCCTTCTTTGCATTGCTTTACAATAGCATAGGTCAAGTTTATGTCTTTTACAGAGCAGGTTTGTCATGTTAAAAATTGCTTTAAGTGAGGGACTTTTCACTTAACCGGGTTTAAGCAAATGCTTTTTAGAGCTAGGAGGAAAAAAATCTGCTCTTTCCATTGCTCTTAAGATCTTTCTGAGTACGTCTAATATTCAGTTCAACCTAAAGTAGCTACAAGAGAACAAAGAAAAAAAGGGCTTGACTGACGTGTTCTACAGAGTAGGGAAAAACCTTCACACACAGTCCAGTGTAGAGCCATTTTAAAAACTCCACCAGAAAAGAACAACATAGGATTTCACTAAGATGGATGAACATGGAGTCAAAGCCAAATTACAAGTTAGTTTCTTTTCAGGTGGGGCCAGCAGATTATATCCTGCCAGTCGTCCTGGAGATTTCGGAATACTGTACAGCAAGGCTGAGCGACAGTGCTTTTGGGGTAGATACATAAAAAGGTAAGGCAGGTACAAGTTGTTATGCATGTACATTATATTATTAGTTCAGCACATTAAGAACATATTTAACCTTTTAAAAGAAACATTTAGTCAAGTTAAAAGTTTTGTTAATTATTGAGACACTCCCTAGGATAAGCTAGTAATCTTGATTATTACTTGTAATAGTCGTGTACATAACAGTCAAGGCACACATGTGTGTACTTACATTTAGATCTCTGAAGTATTCATTATAGTCAAGAGCATATCCAAACACAAATTTGTCTGGAATTTCAAAGCCTGTATCTGTAACAAAATCCAGTTCTTTTTATATTTGAATTGTATAAATAGCTTTTAAATGTATGGGTTGTCTCAGCTACATAAAGGCAATGCTTCACAGATACTTCATCTGCTTTCAAGGTATTTAGCGTGCTTAGAACCTTTAGGAAGTAAATTGATAACACAGATTAAAATCCACACCATCCCCATCAGTTAATAATATAATTAAAATGTTAGTGATCTTTTAAGAGAATTGTTTGTTTTGTTTCTTAAAATACATTAATTAAACCTTCTTATGAGATAGCTGTAGGAGAGGGGAGCAAAGAGGGAGGTTTTGCTTGTGAGGAAGTATATGCACCCAAATAGAAAGTCTAATCTTCTGCTGTCCCTCTCGTCAGAGACATCCAAAAGCCAGGTCACAAGTCTATGTCAATATCAGTATTGCATTTGTTTTTGAAAGTGGATTAGTTTTGAATCTGAAATTGAATTCAGAAATTGAATTACAGTCCTACTTCTCTTTTCAGAGTAAATCTGAATCAGAAAAGGATTTACAGTTTGAAAACAGGTTATATTTAAACCAGCGTCAAAACAAATGCCTTCTAGGGTCAAAGCTAAGCAGTCTAGTTCAGGTATCCAGATACAAATAGTGAAACCTACACTCAGAACAAATGAAAAAGAAGGTGGTTGTGAGGTTTCAGTATGGGCTAGCTGGTGGTTAGTTTTCAAGTTTTTACATATTTTCTCCCCATTTCATTTGGTCTTCCTGACACACATATGTTAGTGTTCAGATTTACTGCATGAAATGAAATCATGAGATCTTATTTTGGACAGCCAGAAAAATGCAATACTTACAATCTGGTCTGTAACCTGAACTTTGATGTGTTCTTTTAATGAGCAGACTGTAAGACAGAGGAGAGAGAGTCATGATTTTTAAAATATAACTTACTCCAAACTGTAGACTTCACTTCTCCCACCCCTCCCCTTAAGCTCCTAGAACCATGCAGTTACAGTAATCTCATTGTTTTAATTTACCAGAAAAAGTAGTGGTTTTCACCTTTATAATTGAGGAAAAAGCTAAGATCTAGATCTAGATCTGATCTAGATTCATCCTGAAGCTCCAGGTGACTCCTTTTATTGTCTTAGACTTAATTCTCTTCAATTCTGTGTCGCAAATCATTATTTTTTCATGTAGTGATGTATCAGTAAACTAACATAGCAGAGATAGGTAGAATAGCTCAAGTGACACGTAAAGATTTTTAGGGAATAGGGAGAGAGGAAGTATTATTTCCTGCTTTTACTTCCTCTTCCCCCAAACATTAAAAAAAAAGTGTACTCTAAATGGTTTTGGTATCTTCTCATTATGATACATTAGCCCGTGGCCATATCATCATACCTTACTACTTTTACCATCTTTGGTTTGTAGTCTTTTAGTTTTGAAAGTAGCGTCTCCATTGTTCTGCCGGTCTCAATAATGTCCTCAAAGAAATTAAAAAAAAAAAAAGTAATTTTATAAATATGAAAGAAAAAACAGACTGTCAGTTGAACTTACAATATGTAAAGCAATCAGAGGCATCAGTAGTGCAGTAATGTAACATGCATGCTTTAGCTGACATGATTGAGTGTTTAATGTACAATAAGCATTAACTTGCTAAATGGAAAACTATGAAGATCTTTACTCACCTCTACTACTAACACATTCTGGAAAAGATTATTCAGGGAGAGAAAAAAAACAATTTCATGGCAACAGTCACTGAATTACACAGCTAGGAAAAAAATGTTTGCACTATAAAAGTCAGTTACAAATAAGTTGCAAGTGATTTTCAAAGGATTATGTCACTTTACTTACATTATTTTAGTGCTTTCTGAAGAGTCTTTCTGAAAGTATTTACAGAAGCATAAAATATTATGAGAAAACCACTTATTTCAGGTTTTATGTAGTATTATGATATGTATAGCAATAGCATTTAAAAATGTTGCATAAGTCAGTTTAATATGGTTCATTTCTGGGGTTTGGGAAATTATAAAATATAGAGTAGGATTTTTAGAAGCATTCAATACTGATTCCATTAAGTTTTCACTCAGATCAAAGGGAATAATTCTCCATTTCAGGGCATGATATTTTAAGGTTTAAGTGGCTGTAAATATGTAGAATGAAAATCCTACTACAGGTGAACTTCCTGGAGGATATATAAGAACTGTTCTTTCCCCTTAAAAGCTGAAGATGGTAATTCATACCTTCCCATTTAATGCAGACAGTTCTTCTCCAATGATACTAATTTTTTCTGTAGATGAATCAGTCTAGAAGGAGAAGGGAGGGAGAAAAGTCATGCAAATTATGTTCAAAAGTATTATCTTGTATTTATCAGGAATAACGTGCTGTTCAGCTATCAAATGATATTTGCAGCTTTATGCAGCACTCTTTCAGTAAAAGAGCTTTTAAGTAGTGGAAGGCAAGAGATGAGAGTGAAGACCATCTCTTCAGAGATGAGACCCAGACGCATGTTTGAGCTTCTGAGCAAAAGTATTTTCATATTTCTAGAACAGATATCATCGCTTTCAGCTATTTTTAATATCACTGATTTGTTTTAAAATTCCATGATACTTTCATAGGATGTTGTAAACTGTTGTATTTAGCATGGGATAAATTTTGGTCAATGCACGGAGCTTGAATATTCAAAGAGGGGAGAAGATTAAAAAAAAACAGGATAACTGTAAATCACAGAATTGTTTTACAGTAGTTGGCTTAGGCCAGCTGGGGTTGGCTCAGGTGAAAAATAGCTTTTCCTCAACACACAGACTACAAAAACAAATCTCACCATCATAATCTGTAAGAAAAAGAAAGAATGCAGAAGGAGACCTTAAGCAAATCTTTAACTAATCTCCTGCTAAGCTTCTCTCCATACTTCCTCCTACCAAAGGGTCCTACGGTAAGGAAAGTTGGAGAAGAGCCTGTATGGAAGCTTTAGGCTGGAGAGCAGGACTTTGGAGACCTGAACCCAGCACTTGCTTTCTCACTTTAAGTGTTCTGCTGTATATTCATGCCAGTAAATATAAATACTCTTCTGATCCCTTAGGCAGGGCAGCAAATCCGTTGCCTTTCAGTACATAATAAACTAAGTTGCTTTGAACAGGCTATATGCTAAACTCAATTTTGTGCGGTATTCATATAAACTAACAGAATTCAGAATGTCAGTATATGGGGAGAGTCAATTTTCCAAGGCAAAGAAAGTTGCTTTGGAACAGTAGCTTTTCATTCTAACAAAATCCACAGTAATAGGCACAGATTTATCACTGTTTTGATTTAGTACTTTTATATGGTCCAGCAAATCAGCAAAGAATTTATAGCCTCCTTTAAGGACACAGAGTGCAACAATGTGATGACTTCCCATCTCTTGCATGATATCTCTTGCCAAACGTTCTGTCCTGGAAGAAGAAAACAAATCACAAATCTTGTAAAATGTTTTATATGTCATATTTGTTTGTCCATATGTCAAACAGTGCCCAGGTTAAAATTCTGATATGGCTGTTGAATTTTTTAACTAGCAACTTGTGACCATATGAAGACACAGGAAAGTTAGTTACATATTAGCAGCTAAGTTCACAGGATGGCACTTAACCACTTGACATATGGCTGATTTAAACTATATATCTAAACAATTCAGGATAGCAAAGCTTAAAAATATTTGAGATGGCATGGAAACCTGACTGGGGTTGTAAAGAAGTCCTCTTCATGAAAGTCCTCTTGCATTAAACTCCAGAGCCAAACTTAAGTTTTATAGCTGAAGGGTTTCCCTGTTTCTCAGAGCTTCCATAAGGGAGGTGTTGGTCAATGTGCAGTGTATCAATTTTTTTCTTTGGAGGGCAACCAGAACCATTGGCATCATTAGCACTGCTTTTTGGTTAATACCGCCATACCTGTCCAGGATGAGTCCGTGAGGAATGAAGACTCTTTCTAGATCATCTTCATAATGCTTAGGAATGCAAAACAGATTTTTATTATAGCCACTTTCTTCATCTTTTATCTGCAAGTGAAAGAGAAATAGCTCTTCAAAAACAAAGGCAGAACCATGAAGGAAAAAATCTTTCAGCCTCTGACATTGTGGAGGAAGAGAAAGGTTGTGAACTCTGTATTATTGAACTAGCTGTTAGTCACAACTTTGTCTCCTCCTCCACATCCTCCACAGTAGTGACCTGCTTTGGAGACCAAGCTTCACCACAACTTGTAAAAGGTCACTTAGAGGCAGAAAATAGCAAGAAACACTTTCACTAAGGAGAAGCAATGAATGACATAGGACCAGCCACCATCTTTGTCTTGACAGAATATCTTACAAAGCTAGGCTAAAACAAAGAAACCCTACGAGTTTCCCCACCTATAAATGTAAATGAGGTGTTGAGACCACTACAATGAGCAGACAGTAACGCTTTTCTAGCAAAGTGATAAAATATAAAGCTTTTGTGGTAGCATATTAGTTGTGGAAATAAACAAGACTCCATTCTTTCTTCCCCCTCAAAGAAAAGATGACAGTGTAAAAGTAAAATATATCTATTTGAGAATTTTTGAACTTTCCGGTGTGATATTTCATAAATTCAGCTTTTTAATTCTAAAGAGACACAAAAGAAAATTTAATTATTTCTTTAAGAGTAGGGACTACAAGTGAGGGTGGGAAATTAGGGCTACAAAGATGATTAGAGGGCTGGAGCACCTCTCCTATGAAGAAAGACTGCAAGAGCTGGGCCTGTTCAGCCTGGAGAAGAGAAGATTGAGAGGCGATCTCATCAACGGGAAGTTCCATCTGAACCTGAGAAAAAACTTCTTCACTGTGAGGGTGACAGAGCATTGGAACAGGTTGCCCAGAGAGGTGGTGGAGTCTCCTTCCCTGGAGATATTCAAAACCCGTCTGGGAAATATGCTTAGGTGACCCTGCTTGAGCAGGGAGGTTGGACTAGATGATCTCCAGAGGTCCCTTCCAACCTAAACGATTCTGTGATTCTGTGATTCTGTGAAATGTGACCTTTGATAACCACTTCCTTTGACATAATCAGAGGTTCTTTAGGAGTCCTTTTTTTTTTTTACTCATTGGCAATTACTGATAATCCTGTTTGCTTTACCCTTGTAGCAGATTCCTCTTCAATACATTGGGAAATGCCTACTACCTCAGAAACAGGTAGCATACAGAAGAAGCCCTTGCAAAGCACCCACAGTTTAATTACAGAGAAGGAAATCTCTCTCGTGTGCAGGGTTGACAAAGTTATTCTCTCCATTCCTTCACACTATTCACTCAGTTCTCCATCCCACAAAAGGAGAAGCAGAACCAAGATTAAAAGTTATCTTAATTATACTTTTCCTGCCTATTACTTAGTCTGTCGTAGCGCAAATTAAGATCTCAGCACTTCCATCTCCTATTACTAGAGCTTAGTGTAAACAGAAATGTAGTTCTACATGTAGTTCTCAATGTAGTTCTACATATGTCTGTCAGTAATCTACATATGTCTGTCAGTAAACAGCTACACTGCAGATAGAGATGCCCAGTAATTATTTGGGCTAAGAAATGGCTTTGAAATTGATCTCCCCACGCATACAAGTAGGAGAATTAATATATTCTTGAAAGCAGAGAAGTAAAGGCATAACAGGTTATCTCTCTGAAGTATCAGGAATATTATAAAGTGTCAACAGTGGAGCTGTCAGTAGCCACAGTTAATAATCCTTAAGATTAATAACATATTTTTAAATAAAACCTACTTGAACCTACTAAACTGTACTTCATATGTGAAACAGACTAGTAAGGTCATATGATTGATGAACTCATCTTTTTCAGACACTTCAGGGAGACGTGTGTAAATAGCAATATAAAACATTAATGGAAATTGGTTTTCCAGACCCTTCCATACCTTTAAAGTTTTGCTGGGGCAGTAAAGTTCCCACATCATAGCAACCCCAAGCCTGTTTTAACTGGTACAGGCTCACATTTGGTACCTGTCCTGGGAGACAGACAGCAATGTTCTTTAGGTAGGTGAATGTGGTATAAATAACACATCTCACAGTGCTGCAGAACAACTTGGTTCTTCAACTCCAGGGTGACTGCAATCTAGGTATACCCTAGCAGAGTCTCTGACAAAGCAAGATCTAGTGCCCAGTTCTCCTTCTCTTCTCCTCAAGCAAAAACAAGAGGTCAAAAACAAAGAGAAAGAATGAAGTATCTTCTACTCTTATACTGGATAATTCAGTAACTAATATGGTTATCTGAAATGTGAAGGGGTAGGTTCCTGCTCCACCTCAGTAATCATAGGAGAAAGCCTCAACCACCATCAACTAGTTAAAAATAAAAATAAAAGGGTGCTTTCATTCTCCATTTCCCCTTCTGAAAAAAAAAGTTTCTTGCTCATGTGTAGGCTTAGATTTTAATTTCTGCTTGTCAGATAAATTGGGATTACAGCTGGTTCTCTCATTAGCACATGAATTTAGGATGCAGCACTACCTCAGCCATCGTTTTCATTGTGTAAAAGAGACAGCTCTGTCCCCTAAGTGTTGAACATTGGGGGCGGAGGCAGAATTCACAACTGAACTTTTGACAGCATGTACCTACCATCAGCTGCCCCCAGAGGGCAGCGGAGATCACTGACCCAAAGCGGAGAAGCTTTGGGATGGTGGCATGAGGAAGGGACCTGCAGAGGATGCATCCTGGATGGGGGATCCTGCTGAGCTGCAGTCCAGTGCCTTCCATTCAGCTGTATGCTCTGCTAGCAGATCATCCCTCAGCCTAGGGTGGAGAAGCCATGGCTACTTTCCCCAGATGAGGGCCTTAACCCTTTTGTCATCAGGGTTTAGGATTATAGGTCTTTCCTCAACGTGCTGACTCCAGGCTGTTGAACTAAGGTATGTCAGGATATCTGGAAGTTATTCATTTTCTATTTAGGATTCTCTTCAGACTCGTTTTCTGACCTCAAACAGATCTGTTTAGAGGAAGCTATGTCTTGGTGTTCTACCACCCTTCAAGAAGATAATGAATACTTCACTCCTTGTTCCTTTGTGAAGTGATAGAACAAAAGCAGGAAAGGAAAGTATAATCCAGAAGAAAAAATTGTGAATCAGAGTGTTGACATGCAGGTATTAGAAATTAATTAGGAAACACCTGAAATTCGTTATTGACATCTCGTCACATCTGATGTTATCCTGTTATTGTTAATGAAATATGAGACTAACTTTAAAAAAAGAGTTCCAAGCTGGCTCACATTTTCATTAGTGCAAAATAGGTTAACTCCAAACCAGTTAGATTCAACAGAACTCAGTATCGCATAATTCAAATTATAAGACAGCCCATGAATTAGGAGGAATCTGTTCAGTGTGCTGCACTGTGCAGGTTTCTTTGGTGGAGAAACACTTGGAGAAGCAATATGAATAGAGTTAACTTTAAGATGAGTAACTTCAGAGCGGCATATGTTGCTAATATCATATAGTCTGTTTATTTAGCAACAAAATAGACTACTGCAGCAGGAGACAAAGTTTTAATGGTATGTTTGTGCTCAGCATTCATACTGAGATCTTAAATCTTTCCCCTCAGACTTGGCGAGCATAACTCCCTCCTATCAACTGAGACGCATCCTTTGATTTACTGAGCAGGCCCTGTAACCAAGCATTTGGTGGCCTGGTAATGGACAACATGAAGCTCTGAGTTAGGCAGTAATAGCATAAAGTACTGTGAGCAAAAAAAAAAAAAAGGAAAAAAAAATTAACACCTGCAAATTCTTTAGATAGATGAATTGTTTTTAATTCTGCTTTTTGGCATAGGAGAGAGGACTGCTTAGGAAGAAGAGAAAAATGAACCTTAGGGAACAGGAGTAGGATATTACTTGCAAAACTCCCAGGAGCTATGAAGTGAGATAATAAATTAATGCATTTTATGTTAAATTGGCTACAAATGACCCACTTCATCTGAGGATAAAACTAGGCAAACAAATGTTAACAAGGATTTCAAAAAAACCCAGAAGACTCTTGTACAAGGCACTGCAGATGGACTCTCATCCAGTCTGAACTATCTGTGTTCTGCACGTATGCAAAATTGATAGGCCTTGATGTTCCAAGGAAGACTTGCAGAGTAGTCTTGCAGCTGAGCAGTGTTTGGAGCGTCAAGAGTACTATTTTTCCTGTTTTAGTTACTATTTTCTTCGTGGCTGAAGTCAATGAAGTGAATTGAAAGCTCAGAT